TGTTCAGCCTGGAAAAGACAAGGCTCCGGGGGGACCTTACAGCAGCCTTCCAGCACCTGAAGGGGGCCTACAAGAAGGCTTGGGAGGGACTTTTTACAAGGGCCTGCAGTGATAGGATGAGGGGTAATGGTTGGAAGCTGGGAGAGGGAAGGTTTAGACAAGATATAAGGAAGAAGTTCTTCACCCTGAGGGTAGTGAGACACTGGAACAGCTTGCCTAAGGAAGTTGTGGATGCTCCATCCCTGGAAGTGCTCAATACCAGGTTGGATGGAGCCTTGAGCAACCTGGTCTAGTGGGAGGTGTCTCTGCTATGGCAGGGGGGGTTGGAACTAGATGATATTTGAGGTCCTTTCCAACCCGAAACATTCTATGATTCTATGAATACTCTGGGACTGTCTGAGCCGCAAGACGCTGGGATGCTGGTGCCATCCGACTGCTGTTGTGACCAGGGTGCACAGAGGCCTCCCTGAGCCCGCAGCCTCTGGTAGTACTAGCTGTGTGGGGCAGCAGCCAGGAGCTTGGCACTTGTGGAAAATTAGAGAGGCCAGCAGCTGTGCTGAGGGTCGCCACTTTGACGTGGTCAGCAGGATCCAGGCAAAGGGGCTGAAACCGGCCCGTCTCCCTCCATATCAGATATAGCCAAAGCCATTTTGTCCTTAGACAACCCTTAGACACAGAACAAAGCAGGTGTCCCCCAGAATCCCCAGTATGTAACCAGGGAGTCCCTTGACTCAAGCATCCTGACAACACTTGCTTCTAGTCATTTTTTTCAGTGCATTAAGAGGTAAGTCTCAAGAAGCACAGAAGGAAACACCCCTGTCCCTCTTCTCTCTCACCACCACATGTGCCACCATGGTGAAGAAGAAGCTGGGACTCTGCTCACTCTCTCCTCAACCAACCATCTCCCATGTTGCTTCTGACCCTGATACACCATGTTTATGTTGACAGCTTCTTGTATGTCTGTCAGTGTTTCCTATCTGATGCCATAACAAGTCTCCACTGAAAGCACAAAATCCACCATTATTAAATCCTGCTTGTTGCTTTCCCTCCAAGCTCCCATTATCAGCTAAACGTAAAGTATGTATTGCATTGACTGTAACTTTAGCTGTGTTAGAGTCTGCAGCCATAGATATTACTTTTATTAGCTAGACTTGATCCATTCATTTCCATCAGTTTTCTGTTTTCAATTATTAAATTCTCTATCCAACAATATAACCAGTATTTATTGCAACATAAATGCCTCACAGTCAAATCATAAACCATGTGAAAACCTGCATTGTGTAACACTGTTCTTAAACCAAACTAACAAAAGTCAAGAAACATACAGAGCTAAATCAAATACTCTGGACCAAAATGTATTTTAGTGGTGAGCTAAGCAAGAGACATATTTTTGCATGGTTTGAAAAGACAATGGAGAAAAAAAAAATCCCAGTTTTTATTCATCGCTTTGTGCCTAGATAATTGCCACATGAACTCATTTTTTTAAGCAAAAACACTTGAGGACTTGTGCATTGTTTGGGAACAGTCTGCCTGGGATATAATTTGGCTTGGGATATAATTTGGCTTGAATGAGAAAGTCTTCACGTAGATTTAGCTCAAATTACTGTTAGTATTTATACATAAATGCATGACAAAATGTACTTGTTTCTTTTTGGCTTTATTTTGCATTTTTCTTATAAAAACAATCTCTTCATGATAATATCCATCACTAAACAAATAAAGCATAATTTGGAATGCTCTCTGTTAGTTTTACCAGAGCAATTACAGAGTTTATACAATCCTAAAACTCTAATTAATTACCTAAGAGTCTGTGAAGTCATTGCAGTGTATTCTGTAAGGGAACCTCTAACTGCTATATAATCGGTTGGGCACTATGTGCCTAGGAAAGCTATGCTAGAGTAGAGCTGGTGACTACACAATTAATGTATATAATTTTTTTTATCTGCTCTTAAAAAGTAAGTGCATCTCACCTGTTTTCTGGTTTAATCCTGCCTCTTAGCTTGGAAGATATTATTAGACAATGAGATTTTTTGTCTTTGGAGTTCAAACATTGCTTACCTTTTCAGAAAACAGATACTTAAATGAGTTCTGCTAGAAATTTGCTCTTGGACCCCCACATTTTTGGAACCTCTCAGCTAAAGAAGTTTAGGATTAAACATTTCACATTTCTGCCACATACAATCTTGTCATATGTCTGGCAATTACTAAAACTCTTTAGGAGAAATTATGTGGGTGTTGATGAAAGACTCCCCCCCACATCCCCATCAGAAACAGTCAGCTATTCAAATCAAGGCTACCTTCCTGAACCTCCCCAAATAGCTGAAAGAAAGGAAAGTTATTAAAACACTGGAGTTCCTATAACCAGTCATTTTGTTAGGATGAATTTTTCTCAAACGCACTCCGTCGTGGACTACAGAGGAATGACAAGAGTAGGGGGAAGAGACTGAAAAGCAGTAGTAGAAGATACAAGGGGCTAACTACACATTGCAATTTAAAGCAAAAGAAATCTCTGCTGTTTCCAAATGCATGTACAAGTGCCTGTTTCTACTCTCACTTTTAATACAAATGGGAGGGGATGGTCTATGAGAGGTGATATCAGATAAGTGGCTGATAGACAAAGTTGAGGAACTGAGGTACCCTAGTGCTTACACATGACCTGATGATCAGCATTAATCATAAGCAGCCTTAGGTTTACCACTAATGGATATCTGTTCTAGATTTTACTGAATCATTTTTGAACATATTTCATGGCAAATACATCACTGCATCAGAAAAGAGTCATCTGCTGAGAACCTTGACTCTGCGACAATAGTCTGGAAAGCAGTTTGAGGCATATCTGTTTAAACAGTTCCTCTTCTGTGACTCGTGCAGTCAGGTTGTTATTCTCAGACATGTAAATAGGGGAGAAAGGATTTACTGAGAATTCAGATAACATTCTTGTTTTCATGGGACAACTGGATTTTTAAACCATTCATAGCATTAGGCTCTCAGCCGCCCTTTGATTTAGTTTGGAAAATGAAAACATGCTAATCCTAAAATCGCATTTTGCATTTTAGATTGGGTTTGAACTGTTTTTGGTTTTCATCATTTTGTGTTTACTCTGTTCTTTGTTCCTCTTGACTGCTCTGCTTCTCCCTCTTGTCTTCCCTTTACTTCTTATTTCTTTCAAGATCTTAATTGTTTGTTTTCTGTGACACCCAAGTAAGTAACTGCTCTGATCCCAATTCTACCCTGCTTCAGAGGCCGAAACTCTTACACCAGTCCTCAGCAAAGCTCATTCTGAATCTTGAGATGGCATCTCTGACATGTAAAGCCTCAGACTTGCAGCATTTTTGGAGCTCCCTACCTGTTGGGCGTTCAGCTGAAGTCACTTCCTCTGTCAGGCTGTGCTGCTGGACAGGGCTAGTTCTCCAGCTGCCCTCACCCCTGTCCTGTTCAAAGTGAAACAGGGATCACCACTCACACAAACTGGTAGGGCAGCAGGACAGTAACCCCCAGCAGCAGGGCTTGGGAGCCCTTCCACTGGCACAGCTGAACTTGGAAACGTGCATCTAATCACAGGTAAAGACCAACTCTCACATCCAGAATAATGCTCCAGGAGGCAGGCATGCCAAGCCATGAAGGAATTAGAAAAAACACTTCCTTAGTCACATAGATGGTTTCTAATTTTGCCTTATAAAACATTCACTCACATATTGCTTTTCAGATGAATGGAAATCCAGTGTCAAAGCAGCATGGAATGACCTTCTCCCCTTTCCCTTTGTCCTCAGGGTGCATCGATCCTCAGAATGCTTCAAGACTGGATTACACCAGACCTCTTCCAGAAAGGCTGTCAGGTAAGGGCGTCACCAAAACACTCCAGAAATGAGGCCCATCTTCATGTGACAGTAGCACAGCCGTATTCAAAACGGGAATATCAGAGATCCTGGTATTAGAAGCAAAAGTGTTTAATGCATTTCAGTACTGAGTGGACAATGTCAAAG